GCAGAAGTTCACAATTTGCTCTAATGATGTCAAACTGCTTTAATCGAGTCCAACCCTGTCCCGATTCTCCTCAGGGTAAAGAGCAGGAGCACACCTTTGTCTTCAGGATGGACCACCCCAAGGCCTGTAAGCATCTCTGGAAGTGCGCTGTGGAGCACCACGCTTTCTTTAGGCTGAGAGGACCTGTGGAGAAGAACTCTGCACGCTCTGGATTCATACGCATGGGCTCACGCTTCAGATACAGGTGAGAGATGCACAGCCAGGGCTGTGGTTGTTCAGAGTCTTTATGTGTATGTGGTCTTAGTCAGTTTTACGTAACCTTACATCCCAGATCATAAAAAATATAATTCCCAAGCTTTTTTTAAAAAGGAAATCACAGGATAAAAATAGGATTTTAGCTCTGAGAAATATGGTTGTGGTGGGAAACATGTGCAGTTAGACTCCAACGTAAACTGGGGATTGTGGCAGACTGCTCGAGATTAATATGTCACAAATTAGATGTGTGTGTTTGTCATTGTGCGCCAAGAAGACCATCTCAGATTGACAAACAGTGCTTAATCACTCTCTATACATGCCAAGTAGCCCATGTGTGTACACACAGATACTTGCAGTGGTACTGACAGGCACTCGGTATCAACATGCTGCAGTAGCAAGCTGCTTCCCAACTGTGTGTTTAAACATTACCCAGTTGGATAAGCTCTGCAGTAATGTTGATTTAACACGGGGGTTGAAGGGGTTTGTTGTTAATGAAAGGTTATCGCCTGGATGCTTTCAGGGTTCAGCAGGGGCCATTGCTGCGCCTGTTTTTGCCACAGAGCATCGTTAAGAAAGAAATGTTTGTTGGGAACAAATAGTGTTTGCAACTGTAAAGAAATTCTTGTGTTTGCACGATCAGCGGCAAGACTGAATACCAGACAACAAAGGCCAGCAAAGCAAGGCGCTCAGCATCATTTGAGAGGAGACCGAGCAGACGCTACTCGAGAAGAACCATGCACAGCAGAGGTGAGCCTGAAACGTGACAGTCAGCATTAACACTCACGGGAACAAATATTCATGGAAGCATGCATCACAACATCAGGGGAAAATATTTTATAGTAGAAAGTATTCTTGTGACATTTTTCCTGTCAGTTTAACTTCTGAAAATTAAAAACACTGACTGATTGGCCACAAAGGATTTCACCTGTGAGTTGAATGAATAAGAGCTGAAGTAGCTGGGAAGGCTTGCACCTGTGCACACAAGGTCCCCTATGTGCACTGCGTGCCGAGCCGTGCAGTCAGGAACACTGTACGCTTGGGACACAAATGAACAGAGCTTTAGAAATCCTCTACTCCTTGTGTGTAAAAAGCATACGATGACCTGCTTGCCCCACTTAGGCAGAGCTACGAGCACTCCTCATCACCCGAGCAGTGCCCCCTGGATTAGCTATGTGAAGGCTAACGTAGTCTCCAAGATGAGCATCATGCCAGGGGGCCTTTGTGTTGCAGGGTCAGGAAAAACCGGTTCGTACTGGAGGAACGATGGAGGAGAGGTCCTTGAAGAAAAGCTGCCCAGAGTACAGAGTAGCTCACCTTTAAGGGGGATCTTACAGAACATAAGTAACCTGCTGTAACCTCACGAGCCCCTCCCTAAACTATAACACAGGCACACCATGCACCAGTGTAAATGCTGGACATAGCCTCGACCCTTCGTGCAGCCTACACTGTAGCTTTACTTGTATTAAACTCAAAGACGCTTCTGCAAAGAAATTACTTCAGGGTCTAAATGTTGGTTCAGCATGAACAAGAGTAAAAACAGTCACGTCTGCTGTAAACAAACAGCATTATTCATGTGGACACAGTTCTTAATGTGTTTTCTTTGCTTTTCCAGGACCGTTCAACCAACCAGAGTGAGTACAGAGATGTGTAAATGTGTTCTTGTACATTTAAGATACTTTATTTGTCTTTTTTGTGACCATTTTCACATTAATTTATGTAAATGTTATATCTCATTTATTGATTGTACGGGGGCTTTCGTTCTGAACATCCATACTGGGTCACATGATATAAATTTATCAGAGTATTTTCACTGTTTTCGGGTTAATCATCAGGTTGAGCTATGATCTCGATACAGAGCCTTTTGTTACAGGTGTTTGTTTGTGTGTGTGTGTGTGTGTGGGGGCGGGGCTAAGACGTGATGTCAGCTGTAGCTTTAAGCTGTCGTGGGAACTGAGCTGCTGAGTCAAAGCATTTATGATAAATGAGACTACATTACAGCTCATTAGACTGCACTTTTTTTAAAGCTGTGTCCAAGACTTGCTGTCTTAATTATGTATGAGGCTTTTCAAATTGCCTCAGGGCAGACGTTAAATTAAAACTTTGTCATAATTTAAGACAACTTTTATGTTTTCATTGTTCCAAAATGTGCCGCATGTGTCCTGGCCTGCAGGCTCGAAGCTCCACGAACACTTTGCCACCAATGATGGTCGCTCACCCAAATTTGCAAGACTTGAAAACGTTATTCTTATTTCTTAAATGTTCTTAGCGGTTTTTGGTTTTGTCTGTCATTTCAGTTACTTGCAGTGTAAAACCAAATAACCTGTATTAAGAATGCTTGAGCAGAGCTGTTTGCTCTTCAAATAAAATCACTTTCTTTCTCTTAGGGCTCTTTCCTCAGGCAACGGAGTCAATTCCAGCAAAGACAGAAAGGTGAGGAGAAAAAATGCTGTTTAATTTCTCCACTGTTATCTGGGGAAAGAGAAGAGCAGTGAAACACAGCATCAGGTTTAGATGTTATCACTGAGAGAACAAATGAAGTCATTTTAATATCCCCAGGTTTAATCATCCGTTCAGCCATATCTGTGGATGTGTAGCTTTAACTTGTTTGCTCTGTGCTCCTCCAGGTGACCCCCAGCAGGAGTGCATGGGCAGCCATGCCCGTGGTCAGCCCGGTGGCTGCTTCTGCCTGTGGACCGATTGAGAGCGAGGCTCTGCCCAGGAGTCCTGGGGGAGAAAAAAGAAGGTTGGTGCCTGCACATTTAAAGACTCCTCTAGATCTTTAATTTTTTGAGCTCGTCTTTCTCCCTGACGAGCATTTTAGGAAAGTGAATCAGGATTTTAAAGTTGATTCCTTATTTTTGAATGTCGCAGACGACTTACAGCTGCTCATTGCTGTATGAAAGAAAGATGCAGGAAGACACACAGCAAAAAGATTTGGGTTAAAAATAAGGCCACCCGATTCCTTTTAAATGTTTTAACTGTTTCCTGATTGTTGATTGGATAAAAAACAGGCCATGATACTGGCCTCATCGTGCTGCGAGTCCCTCTGTGTGAGAATAGTTTTTTCATGTGAGACCGCGAGTATGGAACGACCCCGGAGTGGGCAGGACGTGGATATTCAGTTTTTATCTTTCTACTGTATTTTTTAATCCCGTCATTCAGCCTCTGAGTGATGTGTAAATAATTTCAGGCTTTTTTCTGTGATTTGATCTGTTATTTATGGATTTATTTTGTGCGTGTGTGTGTGTGACTGAACACAAATGTGCATTTGCATGAATGTATGTAAGCATCCAGCTTTGTTATAAACCTCCCGTGTTTCCTTGTGTGTTCCAGTATGATTATGTACTGAGGATAATTGTCTGGCAGCACGCTGGTAGGTACAGTCAGACTGAACATGCTCTCGCTTTAACCAATCATTCGCTGTGCACTATCGGCTTTGAGACTGCGGCTTTGGAAATGGGTTTTCTTGCACCGAACAGACAGCAATTCGCCGCCTTTTGCTGTTTGTTCCCTTTTGATCAGCATGGAATGCAGCAAATCGGTGCTGGGAATGGTGTTGTGATTTGGCTGCTGTGCGGGAATCGGCGATGTGATTTCAGCTTTGGATCTATTCTCTTTGATACTGTTGGTGCTTTGTAGTGTGTAGGTATCCTTGCTTTTTTTTCTTCTGATGTCATTCTGAGCATCCTGTGAACCACCAACCTCATACTGGAAAACTTTAAGGAAAGTATCAGAACCACAGCTGTGCGTGAATCGGTGTTTATTTACAGATGATCTGTCAGATATATCATATCGTATCCCCAGAAGAGACCTCGGCTTTTATACGAGGATTTCCCAGCATAAACGTGAATGTTTCTGACTCGCGTTCGGGTCAGAAACATTCACGCGTTCATTTGGATTTGCAGCTCAGGCTGAAACCATTTCTGCTCAGCTTCCTGTCACGTCTGTGGTGCACTGGCTCATTTTTGTTTTTAGACTTAAACAATAATCCTGGCTCACGTCCTGTGAATGTGGCTCAATGAGTCATTTGTACCCTCAGCTAAAGAGATTCAGAGCAGTTCACCAATTAGTTTACCATTGTGGTAAATGATGCCCAGTAGGAAAAAACCTAATTGTCCTTTAAATTGACATAAGACAATCTTAAATCAGGCCAAAGCATTTACATGGCCTCAGTCTGCAGACTGCAAATACCTGAAATGAGTTTATGAAATCATTTATTCATTCACTCGATTTTTCATAAAAATCTCAGCATTCCTGTTTTTACCCCTCAGCCATAAAAGGCTGATCGGGTATTGGCGTCACCCACTGGCCGGGCGGCGTGGACGCCCAAGTTTGTGAATGTGATAACTCGAGAATGAGGCGACGTAGGATTGTGATACCGTAAGCCCCTGTACTGAGGGGCTGAGGTAGAGCACCGACTGCCTCCAGTAGTTTTAGAGCTTTTAGGAAAGATTACGTTTACGTCTGATGTTGTTTCAGCGACACGTACGGGCCGGCGATGCTGTGTTCTTGAGGCGATGCTGTCGAGCCTTCAGGGACTTCATTAAAAATGTTTCATCAGCACAAGATCTTAAACCGAGATGACCTCAGTCTGTTTATAACCGACCGAGTGGACACGAGGAGGATGCTTTGACAGTGACATTGTTACATCACTAATGCTTTCGACTAATCCCCCGTGCTCTTTCCTTTCTCCTCTCCAGCTCTGCTTTCTCTCTCGCTTTGAAATCAACGGGGTTTTGGGTTTTTGCATGGACCCCACCCCACCCCCCATTAACCCGCCTGATAACATGAACAGTCAACAGAGAAATAAGTTGATTTTAAACTGTGATACAGACATTATAGTCTAGATTATATATAACAGGCAGAACTTCTAAAACCAACTTTATTCAGAACAACAACGCACACATAACATCGACGTTCAGCATAAAAACACATAACACATATTATTTGTAAGGATTCGAGTGTTATAAAAATCCCCAAATGCTGTATAGATGCCGACAGTTTTGATATCTTGGGCAGTTTATATGGTGTCATCCAGATTCATTAACATGCATACATACGCTGTGATCATCTCTGTGACATGTATATAAAATAAGACTAATCATCAGTGGCAGCAGATTACAAAAGCCTTGGTGTTTTGGTGAGAGTGGAAACATTGGGGAGTATTTCAGGCGAGCGTAACAGCAAAAAAACAAAGTGAAATTAAAATGTGAGAAATACTCATTTAAAAATAACGACTGAAATTTCTACAAACTTTTAAAAAAAGGCGTTAATGAGCCCACGGTGACATCATCAGTGTCCCATACTGCCATGTGTCTTTAAAGGTTGCCGCCTCCCTGACCCTTATTCAGTCCTGTAAGCTGTTTTACTTCTCTGAACGTTATCGTAAGTGTTAGTGGGTCGGTCTCAGCTCAGTCTCTTTGGAAACAATGTAACAATTTAAAAAAACATAAAATGAAAAATACAAATCAAATCTGTTGCTAAACACTGCACGCAAAACCTAAAGTCATTGGAAGTTCACCCACTTATCATCCCGTACCATCAAGTCAGTCCCAGTTTGGACTCAAACTCCCAGGAGACCCGTCGTGGATAAAAGCTTCTGCTCAGGAATATATAAACAGTATGAACATGGATTTGACATGAGCTATCAAACATCAGCCCCTAGAGGTGCAAAGCCGGGTCACCGATGCCCCAGAGACATCCAGTCACTTCACTTAAGTGTTTATGTGACAGCACATGTCACACCACACTTCAGTGCACGCTGGCAGACGTGTTGCTGTAAGCTGGATGGCATACTCCTGACACCGCAGAGCTCGTCACGCAAACCCGCGTCTTACTCGTTTATCCAGAATGATTTATGCCCATCAGAGCAGCTGCTTTTGTCACTGAATAAATGGTAACATATTTGTAACATATTTACACAACTTGTCACAGTTATTACACACTCTCCTACGTTCATGTTATCAGCCTCCTGCTGCCTTCTTTATTCCCTTTCTTTTCTTTTAACCATCTTCTTCTTCTGCACAATAATTGCTTTCCTCCCAGTCTCACTCTTTACTTCACCTCACACACCCTGTATCTTCACTACCTCATCACCTTCCCTTTGTCACTCTTTCACTGCCACCCTGTTGTCCTCAGGTGTCCTCTTCCCTCCATCCTCCCCGCTTTTTTTCATCAAGGTTCCCCAAACGGAGTGGGACAGATCCGACCAGCTGGCCGCCGTCTCACCAGCTGTACCGGCGCGAACTGGTCTGCACGCTAATGAATGGGAAAGGCTCAGCAGTGAAGTGACTCGCCTCGCCTAGTGCGAATGTACAGATTTGTGATTAAGTGAAGCGTTCCTCAGCAGAAGTCTAACACTACCCACATCCCCCCCTTTCCCTTCAGCCCACCTCTGCACCTCATGCCTCTGCTCCTTGACCTTTGGCTCAGTGACAGTTTTGAAAAGATAACTTCCCATTGCTCCTTTCCCTCTGCTTCCTTGGCCTCTCCTTTCTGTCCTCCTCCCCCCTCTTTTTTTCCCTCCTCCTGACCTTCATGCCAAACCTCAGGGGGGAGGCTGGCAGGCAGGGGTGAGATGGTATCAGGCTCAGTTTTATGAACTCAATTCCAGTCTTGACTCTGTGAGGAAACAGCAGGTCACAGAGGTTCTGGGGGATTTAGGCCGGTCCTCTTCTGCTCCTTTCCCCCCCTCAGTCTCAGAAACAATTTCCTGTGTTTGTAATATTTCACACACTACTGCTGTGTTTAAATTCAGTTAAACATTTTTATAAATGAAATGAATTAGATTTTTTTTTAAAGTGAATCTGTTCTTGCATTTCTGCTGCTCTGTTTAAAAGGGAGTTGGATAAGAGGGTGGGAGTCGTTCATCTGTAGGCAGATTAGTCTGAAAGGGTTTTAGCTGTAGGTGAAAAATGAAGCTAACGGTTCACCATGTCTATTTCCAAATAATGTCTGGATTAGTTAAATTCTGTTTGAAGGTTTTATTGTTGTCTAATCATATTTTATGTAGAGCTTCTGTGAAAGCTTCTGAAATGAACCTGATGCTGCCTCCCCATTCAACTTCTAGCAAGAGATCGAGCTAGAATAATGCATTGAAACGTGCTGCAGTACAGTAACGTCTACCTGCGAGCATGCCACAGTTAAATGCTGAATAATCGCGTAAATAACTCAAATGCACTGATCTTACATGGTAATTACACTGTTTATTGCACATCTCAACCAAATGAAGATAAATATGTAATATTACGTAGTTAATTGTTTACAACATGACCAAAGCGTTTGTCTTTAGAAACTGTTCGATTTTAAATCAAAGCAGGATAGTTTTAAATAAAGTTAGTTGTATTTCAGATCAGTCTTATTTTCAAATGATGAAATCAGAAAAGGCTCCAACTTTGGATGTTTGTTAGAAATATTTTATTTAACACGGTCACAACTTTGTCATTCTATGTTCAATTGTTTTAAGCCAATTAAAAAAGCTAATAAATACACATTGGAAGTAAGTCGTACATTTACGTTCTCACCTTTGCTTTAGAATATAGTGAAAATAACATTTTATTGTCTGTAATGTGATAAAGTTTGTTTTCGGTTTGGAACAAATCAACTTATATCATCACCCAAAAAGATGCTCATCGTAAGTCTTCGGCCCAGTTTGATACTTTTACGTTTGTCAGCTGTAATATTCAGTCAAATCCTGGTGATTGTATAATTATGTCGATATATGTGAGTCGTACCGGGTTACTGGATTACGATGTAGGATTTTTCAGTGATCTTGTATCGGATAAACGTGTGCAAACAGATATTTAAAAACGCTGCTTCTGTTGTGGAGCACTGAATAAAGACTAGGGAGTAACCGGTTGCTGGTTTCAGTTCCAGTCGGTGTGCGTCTCCTCGGTGGTACATGCATCTGTCATACTTGCCTTCGTGTCTTATTCCCCACGCGACGGCTCGATTCTCCTCACGGTGGATCTTTTAACATATTTATTGGATTTTTGAGCCCACGTACAAAGAATCGCACTTTTCTTCACATCTTTTTGTGTGTTGTTCTTTAACCCCTGTACTCTCCAGGCAGTATGTTGTAATATACAACATTTGTTATGTTTCGCTGTGTCTTCAGGCTACAGAAATATGAGGTAATTACCGAGCTGCTGGAAGAGCTTCTGCTAAGATCCGTGTGTCAAATGTTCTGCTTCAAGCACCTCTAATTCTGAGAATATTACACCGCATTATTTCCTGCTCAAGTTATTTTGTGGGCAGTGTTTTTACCTCCGGAGACATTTTTGCGTGGACTCAAACGTGGTTTCATACTTATGTTGTAAAATACAATCGTTTTATCACATGTCGGCAACGTGACCCTGTAAGTTAACGTTGGTGATGATGCTAACGGTTAATGACTATGGATTACAAGTACAAGTACTTTATGCTTTTCTTTTGGTTTTAGTAATAATTATTTGACATATTATTGGATGTTGGTGTGTTGCTCTTAAACACCTTCTGCTGTATCAGCGTGGATCAGTTCTGTCATCACTGCAGAGTCCGTACATACGTTGTCGAGGTAAGCTGTATGAATCACAATCCTTTTCTTCCAGTTTGTGTTAAAAACCCATAAAACAGCCTCTATTCTCGGTTTTCTCTTTGAATGTATTTATCATTAACCCTTCCATCCACAACTCAGGCTGAATCTGCCATGCTTTCTCTTCTTGTATGTCTCTAGTTTGCCAGTGGTTGCTGACCTAATGGAGACGTGCGTCGACGATGTCCTCAGAGCTCCTGTTGTCCCTGCGGTCACAGCTATCGAGGAGCCCGTACAAGCCGCTGCCTATGCCGGTGCTAGCGTCCCTGCAGAAGATGCGCTGAGTCTCGCTGGTAAGGCTGCAGCGAACTGGCCAATATTTAAAAACTCTCCTTAGAAGCCAGGCTTTAAAGAAAACTGCTGTAAAACAATAAATGTCTGTTTTAAGAGACTGACATAACTGCAGTTTTTGACTCTATAGCCTCATTTTTCACCGTGACGGCTGCCGCCTGGTGCGACCTTACTGACCGTTGATTCACTTATATTTTTCTGTTAATGCCAGCAGTAGTTACACTCAGCCAACGCCGTTATGAAAAAGACCCAGAGCTGACTGTTAATAGACATCAGTGTCCTGAGACGAGACGATCACTTGCTAACTATATAAATAAAGCGAAGATAACTCTGTTTGTCTTTCTGTGTTCATGTGCGGCGGCTCAGAAGCAGCAGCTCGTCTGAAGCAGCTGGAGTTGGAGAGCAGTCCGCTTCTCGCTGCGCCGAGAAATAACATGAACGTCAACGTGGCCATGAACAACCAGGCGAGTGTTTGTGTTATTTCCTCTAAAATCAGACTCTGCTTGCTTTGATGGAGACCAGCAGCACTTCTGTGTAGTTCACTGGCAGTTCAGCATAAACAAACACATGTGCGGCACAGCGTGATGAAGCCTCTGTGACATCTGACCCAACAGGACGATGTGGTGAAGCTCACAGAGAAGTGCGGGCTGAACAGTGCGGGCAGCAGTCCATGCGTGACTCCGCTGCGCACCCCGGAGGATCTGAAGAGTAACATCCTGAAGGCTCAAGCCGAGGCGGCCGCGCTCAAGGTGCGCAACAGACCGGGCGGTGAAAAAGAGGGCCCTCCGATGTACTCTGATTCTGCTTATCCATCAGAGTGAAAGCCTCATCAGCTGAGCGGTCTTTAGCTAAGCCTTCAGTATTTTGTAGCCTTTTGTTTTTAAACACATTTAAGTCAAAACAGCTAAAGTGACGTTTTGATTCGTGTGTGTGAGCCCTCTCCTCATAAACGCCTGTTTGCTGTGTGCAGGGGGCTTTGGAGGAACACGCTGTGATGCTTGGAGATAAAAACTGTAACCTGCAGGAGGCTTCTGCCAGGTACGTTTTCACTCACCTGCACTTTCAGGAATATGATAACTTCTTATGTTCAGCTTCAGAATCAAAGAAAATAGAATCACGTTTCCACTCAGACTGTTATTTAACCCTTTAGGATCTTTGCATTAAGCAGCTCTTCAGAGCGCACCGTGCTATCGGCACAGGGCACACTGTCACCGCGCCTCATTGTCTTGAAACTCGGCCTTCGTTCCTTCATCTTACTGAGTCATGCCAACTGTCAGTGCTTCATCCCAGCCAATCACAGCGCTCGCTGCTGCTCGAGCTGATTAACCTCTTGAATATTTATAAGGATTATTAGCATAGCTCACAACGTTACGTCAGCCGCAGCTCGGCAGCGCTCCACAGAATGACAAACGAGTCCACGACGGCTCGTAACCGAAGCAGCGAGCGACTCACGCTGGAGAATAAACAACGTTGGATTTGGCAGATTCTGTTGTTGACGGTTTTAGCAAATGTTTCCCGTTTGCATGTTGTTCTAAAAGCATTTCTACTGAAACTCATGATAATGAAACCTGTTTAAAGTAATTTGTTTACTCATGTAGTCGGAGAAGTTTGACCTCCTGTCTTTCTGTGGTAACCACAGTGAATGTTTTATGCAGGAATAAGCGTTATGTGTGTCTCTCTGCCAGGTTGAAGGTGCAGTAACTCGTCTCTTTGTGTTAGCAGCCGCCCTGACGTCCAGGACACCTGGGACCTGCTGAAGCCACCATCCTCCCTGGTCTCATCTGCAGGCGCCAGGTGAGCCTTTGTTTAGAAAAACAAAACATTACTGTGGTTTGTACTTCGTTGCATCAGATCTCTCACACGTTATAGTTAAGGCCTTGACAAAGACCAGTGACAAAGTGTCCTGGCTTTGTAGGTTGATTGAAGTTAAGGTAAAGAGTTTGATTTTTCATAGTTAGCAAAAGGTGATTTGTTTTCAAGAATGTGTTACAGTAAGCTTAACACGAAACATGTTGCACATTTAGATCAAATGGTTTAAAATAATGTTAACAGAGATGCATGTAAAGTCCTGCATCAGCCAAACAGGCAGTGAAACATTAATGGGGCAGATTAAAGCCCTTATAGTCTTTGCTGACATCTGCTGGTGTGTTTGAGTAATGCATTCGTGCATGTGTGTGTCTGTGTGTCGGCCCGGGTGTGTTAAATCACATGACTTGAGTTCTGCCTGGATACTGCTGCCGTCTCTGCAGAGAGTGACACATAAAAGCAGACGCACAGTTAGCTGCGCTGTGTGAGTTTGTGCTCTTAAAATTTGAGTTTAAAAGTGGCGAAACTGTCTTTGCTGGTTTTGGTGACTCACAGTGTTAAAAGTTGTTAAAAGTACGCGGTCACATGCTTGTGTGATACCATTTCTTCTCCTGTTTTCAGCGCTGAGAGATTGGCTGAAGATTTAAAAGCTTCTGTTCCCAAAAAGTCCTCCGAGTCGACCAGTGAAGCCCCGGCACCAAAGGTAACGTGACTGCACGCTCACAGGTAATGACTACTGTTGTGCTTTACACTCACCAGCCACTTCTTTAGGCACAGCTTGCTAGTATCAGACTGCGGGATTTGAGTTCAGTGAACTCGTCATCAGGTTCATGAAGTCAGTCTGAAACTTTTGTGGTGTAGTGCGTTGTCCTGCTGACACGCTGTGGTCATGTGGGAATGGACGCGGTCAGCATACTGAGCCCCCACCACCACCATCACACAACCAACAGCCTGAACGTGTTGGATGCACCAAATTCTGACCCTACCATCTAAATATCATAAATGGAAACCTGCCAGACCAGGCAAGCTACATTTAGCATATGTAGCATGAGTTTGCTGTTCTTAGCTGACTAGCATGGCACCCCATTCTGCTTCAGGCTTTAATCTGCTGTGTTCAGACGCTCTTCTGCATAAACTCTGCAAATGGTTGTGTGGGAAAAATTTCAGCTACGTTCAGAGTCACTTACATCACCTCCCGATGCTCATTTTGAACCTCAGCAGGTCGTCTTTCTCATCTACATGCCCAAATGCATAAAGTTGCTGCCATCTGATTGGCTCATTAGATATTTTCATTAACAAGCAGGTGAGGTGGGTTGAGAGTGCATATTGATTACTCTGTGAAAGTAGGTTCAGTCTTCAGTGTGATGTAATTGGTAACAATAGCAGGTCGTCCACTTGATCCCGGACTGCTCCAGTCTGATTACAAAGTATCCTTGAGCAAGAAACTGAAGCGAGTTGTTCTGAGATGCATTCATCTGACTGTGAATGTGTGAATAAAACACTTTGCGTGAGTAGAGTTTATTTACCCTTTAATCTGTGCCTACGCAGCCCGGTGTTTGCGTGTGACTAACACAGGAAGTAGACGGTTTCTTTAGTGCCCGCGTGTGCCAATAAAGAGTGTTTGCATCACGCTGCAGGTTAAAGCAGAGGAGGTCGACCTGCAAAGCGCCGCCCCACTTTCTGACAACCTTATTGACTTCACTGATCCAACTCCTGTGGTAAGAATTACTGCACTGTGTCCTGAATAATCTGCAGTGAAACTCCAACTGCATGTGTGTGGGTTAAAGTAGACCTTTAGCATGGATGCTAACATTCTTCTGACGTTGTTGTAGCTCCCACCGGTGCAGCCGACCAAACCTCTCATCACACCGCGCTGGATCGTCCCCACAGCCGCTGTGAGTTGATCAGCCTCATTTTTTAAAAGTTCACCTGTTTATGTTTTTTCCAGGTTTGGCTGTGAGATGTTAAAATGTTTTAGAAGCTGTTTTAACCACGAGGCTTTGGACTTCTCTGCACTTCCATAGTCGCTGTGCAGTTTGGCTAATGTAGAGGCGCTGTAGACACTGACCTCCAACCTTCTCCCTCACCCCCTTCTCACGCAGCCTCCCGGCGCCTTTACTAACGGCCTGCTCGACCTTGACCCCCCGCCTAAGGTCAACCCTCTTCTCCCTTCAGATGGGGGAGCATCCCTCACCTCAGCCCTCCCTCACCTCACTCACACACGTAACGCCGTCTCCACCCTCTCCACCAGGTAAAAGTGTTTGCATTTTGAACCCAAAGTTTGTTTTTTACATCGCAGCCGTCACTGAAGAGCACGAAACGTCTCCTCCTCACTTCACTGAGCCTGAAGTTTCAGAAGAGAACATCCCTGAGAGTTTAACAGGAATCGTTAAGAGCATTTTGTTTGTGGAGGAAGAGACAGCAAAGCAAATTACAGTTGTTTTCAGGTCCTTTCTGCACAGCTTTTTCTTAGTTTTTTATGATTTTGTTTGTGAATGAATCAGTATTAAACAATCAGAAATGAAAAACAATACTGAACAGCAGAACTTGAACACATGCTTGAGCTGAAAGCAGGTGTTTCAGTGACAGCAAGTCAGAACATCACAAATCAAACTTTCTGTGAGGATCTCTGAGTTCAAGCAGACGTCTCATTCACGCCTCAGTTCTTCAAAAGTTGTGATTAGAAGAGTCTGAAGGATACGACTCTTTAACCTCGTAATGTGACGGTGTGTCTGGTTCTTTTATGTTTTCCTTACATCGATTTTTAAACTCACACAGCGATCACCAAACTGAGCTCAAGATCACATTTGTGCTTTGTCACCTGTAAATAGCGATGGAGCTGGTTTCACTTTGTCAGACTATAAAAACACAGGTGGACGTTTTAGCGTTTTCATGCAGGTCGAATGAGAAATTTATTGAAAAATAAAAGCTGCAGTCAGAAAAACCCAAAAAACCCACAGAAGGCAAATATACGGAAGAGGATTAGTGCCACCGAAAATCCTGTTGCAGAATTCTGAGAAAAAGTCAGAATTCTGACTTCAATTCTGGAAACGAAGAAGAAAAAAGACGTTTTTTTCCATACAAATAAAAGGACGAGTGATTTTTATTTTCTTTCTTTTGTTTTGTGTGTACAGTAGCTTAAATATATGTATTGGAGCCTTGCATTTTGTTTTCCATACAGTAAGTCATTTCTGAATCATAGGTTTATACATACAGGTTCGAGCCCCGGCTCCGACAGTCTCGTCGTTGTGTCCTTGGGCAAGACACGTCACCCGTTGCCTACTGGTGGTGGTCAGAGGGCCCGGTGGCGCCAGTGTCCGGCAGCCTCGCCTCTGTCAGTGCGCCCCAGGGTGGCTGTGGCTACAATGTAGCTGCCATCACCAGTGTGTGGATGGGTGGATGACTGGATATGTAAAGCGCTTTGGGGCCCTTAGGGACGAGTAAAGCGCTATAAATACAGGCCATTTACCATCAAATCTGGGCTTTCAATGTCACTTTATTTCTCCAGTGTTTCGAAGCTCCTACGAGGTCGTAAGTGTGAGATATGGACGGTTTATAGAAGCCTGACTGCTAACCATGTGACCTTAACTTCTCGGCCATTTTGGACACACAACAATGTAAATTCAGTGCATAACATTTTATTTTACTGTTGATCGAACGAGGTAAAATTACAAAGCTATTATTAAGTTGTCGCAGGTTGTCAGACTGCAGCGTGTTCGCAATTTAGCAATTTTTTTTCAAACTTACGACTCTTAAAACTGGTTCCTGCACACAAACGTTTTTTCTTTTCTGAGGCAGTAATTTGACCGTCTCTTCCACTCCTTCGTCCACAGCACTGTGGCTCAGCCGCCAGCCTCAGAGGATGGAGCCAAACCCAGAGGTCTCTTGACCACTGAGCTCTGATGAAGAAACGAGCGGCCGCCATCATGCTCTTCATCTTCCCGCCTGGTTTCCCGCTTCACCCGCGCACCCACCCGCACGCAGGCCGGCCGAGTCTGAAAACGCAAAAGAAGAGGCAGCTTGCAAACCGCCACGACCACAACCGTAGCTACACAGATCAGCAATATGAAGTACTTTTTTTTTTATGATCTCATGGCGTCGAGCTTAGTCTTTGTAAGATGGTGTATACAAACATTTTAGCCTCAGCATTAAGAAAACCTTATTTTGTGCACCACGTTAGTAACCTGCCATTACCGAGTCCATCCAGTCACCCAAAGCGCTGTCGGCAGCATCTCTGCCTGCTTTGAGACTCTGGTGGAAGCTCTCGCCCTGGTTCTGAGTTTAAGCACCGGCAGTGCAAACCGCTGGATCTCTGAGCTTTCCTCTGGGAAGCTGCTGAACGACACTGGATGATGCACGCACGAGATATAAGCTTGAAGTGTTCGAATATAAGAGATCACGCAGTGCAGCGCGTTTAAACCCGCTAACGCTACATGATGTAGCCACTGGATCTGGAAACGTCACTGGATTACCTTCAAACACTGGACCTTCAGCTGATTTTTATTTTTTCCCACATTAGATGATGATGTTTTTAGTTTTTCAGCTGATTTTTTTATTTTATGATCCTGTTCCTGCTCTTTGTAGCTGTCGATGCTTTTAAATGCCCCCCCCCCACCATCATGAGGACTTCCTGTTTTGATTCCGATCACATCTTATAATGTAAATTCGAATCCACACTCTTACCCCACTCTCGTTCCTGCTCACTCATCATTAAACTTTTAGCTCCTGTGATCGCTGGACTGCGTGGTGGGAGATGTGTCCGGGTATCTGACTGGATTGGACTCTCCAACATGTCGTAGCTGTTACTTTGCCTTATGTACATGAATGTGCTCTACGTGTCCGATGGGAAAATGCTGGAGATGCCACTCGTACGTCACCTTTGCTGGAATCGTTTAACCTGTGAAATATCCTGAAAGCTGGTTTTGTATGAGAGCGAGGTGAGGCCTACGTCGGCACCGTGGGAGTTATTAAATATCTTACTTTGACCCTCGAATGGTAGAGTTGTAGTATCTCACTGTTACTGTAATCACCACGTCTGGCCACTCACTCAGGTTGTGGCTCTGTAGTACTTCTCATTATGTCTTCAACAAGGGAAGCCGGCTGTTCTTCGATGTCGTCTTAGCAGCGTTTACGCCTCAGCTCAGTGTAATTGTTCAGATATTACATGTTGTAGCATACAGGTTTAACGTTTTCACTGTAACTGCTTCAGCTGCTGTTGATATGAAGTAGACGTATATTTTTTAAGACTACCCTGGCAGTATAGTTACTACTCTGAGGAGACTTGAGGTGTTTTCTAATTACAGAGGAAGTATTACAGATCAGACTGTGAAGTCTCGTTTTTATATAAACTCGTATTTTTCTGGAACACCTGATCATGATTCAGTAAAGTTTTGCCACAGTAGGAGTCGTTGTCTCTCATTCATTTTAAAACAGCGGTGAGTGTAATAATCACATCACACGTTCCTTTTGAAATACACTTATTATGTAATTCTTTTCCTACTTTTTACTTTTACTCCCTGCATGTTTAAACAAATATCTAATTCCTGCACATTACATTTTCCAAACTCGTTACTTTCGCTTTAACGTTGATGAGCCAAGATCCTCCTGTAAGTTTACTGTTTAAAGAGCTAAAACCTCCAAAGTTTCAGGAGTAATAAGTCATCATAAGAACTAAAAATCAAGAATGTGGGACACTGTTTGTTTGGGATTTTGAGCCCAGTGCACACCTGAGTGTTAAATACAACACTGTTGAGAGTTAAATTTTAAAGATTAACAAAGACTAACACTGAGCAGTGCTGGTTTTCTAACATTTTGAGTTATCAGCACTGCTCAGTGTTAGTCTTTGTTAATCTTCAAAACTGACTAGGTTACTTTTAAACATATAGACACTCTCCAGTGTTAATTTAACACTGGAGATTTTGCTGTGTACCACTTAAAATTACTTACATATTAATTATAATTCACGTGAACGTATGTATTCTTTTTGTTTCCTGTAAAAACCCGACTCCCTACCCTCGTATTCTAGTGTACCTACCTTTAAGTATTTGTAGTAAAATATAATTGCGCTGAAATTTCAAATACATTGAAATTGCATGTTATTACAGGGGAATTACGTTTGTACCGACGGTCACAATAACTATTTAATAAAGTCCACTAGTCAAATGGCAAAGTTGACGTAGGTGAATGAAGCGCTCAGTTTCATAACCAGAGCTGCAACAGCGCCGTCAGTGATGTAGTCCATGTTTTCTACCACTAGATGGCAGACGAGTACCGTTGTTACTCTCGATGCAGTCCAGCGTTGAGCAGAGCTCCACCTTCCATCACTTCACAGATGGCTTCATGCAGAACTGCAAATATCAAACTCATGAAGTCATGAAAGAGCTGAGCCTGCATTTGAGTCCTCGTCTCTGAGCGTGAACAAGGCAAAAGAAAAAAGACTGCATCCTGGCACATAATGATCTATTTCAGCCAACACGGTCTATCTGAAATGACAGCCATGGCACGCAAAGCACCGACTTTAGCTTATAACACTGAAGCCTTTATTTAGTATACTTTAAATGAAATAACTTGTACCTGTTCATCTACCTATTCATGCAAATATCAAATAGGCCAATTGCAGGGCAGGCTCTCGATGCATGTCAGCATGTAGACATGACCAGGAAGACCTGCTGAACGCCAAACCGAGCATCAGAATAAGGAGGAAAGCTGAATTTGGACGAGGCGTGGTGGTGGCTGGTCTGAGTTTTTCAGAAACTGTGGATCTCTTGGCATTTTTCAACACAACCATCGCTATAGTTTAGTTTCTAATAAGCACTCATTACGATCAAGGTATGCCAAAGAGGTCGAGTCTTGACAGCCTGGTCTGATGAGTCTCTGCCTTTTCTGCTGAGGGCTTACTTTGTCTTTAAAAGTCGATGTTTTCTCCTTTTTTATCCTCTTTCAGTCTTAACACAGGCCAGTAGGTCCAGTAGTAGCAGAGGGTGGACCTGTTGACTGCTCTTTACTACTCTAGGGCGCAGTGTAGCTCCAACGAAGATCCAGGGAACTCGGTGGTTTTTAATCAACACATGGAGTTATAATTCCATCTGATGTGTAGTAATAAAAATATTTAAAGAATCTGAACAGAGTGATCAGAGACTGAAACTGGGATTCCAGTGGATCTCGCCCCCTGGGTATACTCTGCCATGTCTATAAATCACATCTGTGTTCAAGATTAGTGTTTGATTTGCTGTTAATCAGATTTCATATGAGTGATGTCTGTATGAGGAACACAGGAGTCATTTGTGACAGTGTGCTTGTATCAGGAGTGAGCTCCTTTCCCCCCCTAGAAGTAGAAGTCGTCCCTTTTTGATGAAGTGGTGCATCATCTCTCCAGTTGCTTCATTATCAGAAACAAAACATCAACATCCTTCAAGGCACGATAAACAAGCTGCAGCATGCTTATTCTGGAGCTGTGCTCGGTGGCTTTAGCCAAACATTTAATGCAAAGTAAAATAAAAATGAAAAGTCTTCAGCGAGTGTTAAAATGAAAGCAGAGCTGCTGATATTTGCGAATAGCCATATTGGTTTACATTGGTGACTGGTCTGGCTGCAGAGCAACACATAGTTGGATCATTATGAAGAGACAGAGCGGCCTACAGCTCAATAACTCAGCCAGGACTGCTCCCCTCAGCAGATGGGCCGACTTTCCACACCTTCCAAATGAATAATTGATTACGTACACGGACCTTATGCCAGGTCATGATTGCTTAAGCATGCTCAAAGCTCTGGGTTGATTCATGCAGATTTGGCTAACAGCCCGTGCCCTGATGTCACCAAGCAGACATTACATGGCTTCTCTTAAATTTTAATGGTCTTTGAGGCCGGCTATCAGAACTGTTGGGTGAATACCAAATGCATTTAGAAACTCAGCCTTGTTTAGAGTTTAGGTTTTGGTCTGATAAGGATGTTAGAGCCAGGTTTAGAGGACATAACTGCATAGTTCTTCACAAAAAAGAACCAAAAAAGTAAAATGTCAGGTGTTTGTTATAGTAAGTTATTTGTTCTTCACTTCCACAAGAAGAGGTGCTAGAAAGAGGAAGTGATTTGTGACAGAAAGAGGCTCCAAAATGTGACCTGTCACTTTTTTCTTTTAATATCAACACTTTGTGGAAGCTACTTTGGATTTTTATATATTTTAGTTTTCTGATGACCGTTTGAAGACGGAGCAACAACATCTGTTCAAATCTTAAGCTTGACACGAATATCTGACTCATGTCAAAGAAATATGAGTTTTAGATCGAGCATCACGAGTCATGGCGACAAAAACGTTGGCAGTGGCTGACGCACCGAAAGAAATGAAAACCAAGAGAAACTCGCCATCACGGGTATTTCTCAGACACTTGTAAACCAATGTTGGACAAATTTATGAAACTGTATTTGTCAAAATTTTCACAGAGGACGAGATTTTCAACATTTCATATTATTTTTATTTGTACACAAAAGAATTATGTTTGTGTTTGTATGTGCGCAGATTAACACGTATATCAGGATAATGTTTGTCACTTTTCCTTTTCTTTTGACTGCATCTCATTAACCAACTGTCTCTCCTGTCATTTACAGCCTGTCCTGGTATTTTGTAAGCCTTTGTCTTAAGCTATTGTTCCTTTGTTAAAAATGTTTTTAAAAAGACTTGAGAAGAAGAACTGTTGATGCTCACAAAGCAGGAGATTGGATGTGCAAGTTATCACAAGAGTTTCCAAGTGTCAAGAACTGGAGTGAGAAGACTCATCAGTGACACAGTGCAAAACAAGCCTGGCACAGGTCGGAGCAAAAGATTTCAAAAACTGGAAAGAAACCTGGACCCCAACAACTGCCAATCACTCAAAGAAGCCCAACACTAGAACGCTGCACAGACTGGACTACGAGGCTGCAGACCAAGAAAAACTCCACTTCTGCAGAAGAGACACCTTCAAGCCAGCCTGTAGCATGCTGAGGACAACCTGGAGAAAGATGATGCAGACTGGAAGCAGATGACATGAAACCAGAGCTCTTTGGCCACAGAAATGATGCGTATGTTTGGAGAAAGAAGGGCGAGGCATACAGCCCAAACCCACCAAACCCACCGAACCTCAAGCAGGCAACAGAAAAATCAGTCGACCCAAAACATACGTGAAGAACGACCTCAAGAAACCAAAGTGAAGCTGACCGACTCTCCTGCTACAGAGTCGGTAACGTCCTGACTAGAATCCCACTCAAAATCTGAAGTGAACTGAAGACCAAGGTCCGTGCTGGAAACCATCAAATCTGGTGGAGCGCGAGATTCTCCGAAGAAGTCTGAGCCGGGATTCCTCAGGAGACGCATGCGAGACGTGTTGGAAACTACAGCAGTCGACTGCAGCTGTTAACAGCAGTCGACTAATAATTTTGAGCCCTGAAGTTTTTGTGAAATAATTTTGTTTCTGTGTGTAAAGTAAAATTATGTAAGCATCCAAAATAAAACCAGGATTTGGGGGAAAGCTGTAACAAAAATTCCGACTCTGT